ATAACTGAGATTGACGGATGTTGGCATCCGACGATTGACGTTGACATCCACTTTAGTGAATGTTTGTTTTTCGCCGGTGTTTGGGGAAATGCAAAGTATACTGATTGCATGAATAGCCGAACATAGAGCTGAAATACCCAAGTTCTGAATAAAATCAACAGATTTTCATTGATTGAAGTTCTCTTAAAACAGTAATCTTTTTGTCAGTCTTAATAGTAGTTCTCATTGCAAAATCTTCGTGATCTTGTGCGTGGGTTTTTGCGTTTTCTTTTCCAAATTTAAACGTTCTGCTAAATAGTATTAGCAAAACCAAACATGTATTCAACTTGCAATGTTTCTTTCTTCTAAAGTCGGTAATCCAATTTTAGGCGTTTGATTTTTTAACGATAAGTTAGTTGATTACGTCAATCTTGTATTTATGTAACTTCTCGTAATTCTATTCACGTTCTGTTTTTAGTACCTCCGCGATGTCTCTGCTGTATGAGTGCATCAACACCGTCATTGCCGGTAGGTGAAGGTTTCTAAAGTGAAGTTTTCTGATTCTGGAAAGATCAATTGCCATCAGCGTTTTCAGTTTTAATTCAGCATATCGGCCGGTGGTGATCATGCGGCCAGCATACAGGTCCATTTTGTAAACATTCTTCATGTTCGCTTCGATAGTACCCTTACTTAATGTGCTTTCCATTTGCGCTTATGCGCTTCAAAAACTCGGAGTTTTGATCGAAGATTCCGATCAAAATCTCAAGTATCTTGGGTTGCTAGCAATGGGAAAGATCCTACAGACCCATCCGAAGGCTGTTCAAGCTCATAAAGATATAGTGCTAAGGTGTCTGGACGATAAAGATGAGAGTATACGAATAAGGTAAAACGACTATTTATTTCTTTTTTCAACCTTAAGCGATTGATTTGGTTATAATGCGATTTGCAGAATCTTGCGCTGTTCAGAGTTTCTTGTAATTGCAGGTCTTTGGATCTTCTCTACGGAATGGTGTCAAAGAAAAACATCATGGAAATCGTAAAGAAACTTATGGAGCATGTGGAGTCTGCAGAAGGATCTCATTACAGGTTTCATTTTCTTTTTGTCCTATTTGTCATTCATTTTTAAATTTCGTGTCATGTGTATGGGACGAGCGTTCTGTCCGCGCATAATCGCGTATATCAGATGTATAAAAACTACAGTTTATCACAACGTTGAATGGTGAGTCTTCGTGCATGCTCTTTTCCATTTAGAATGTTGGCAGCAGCCGCTAGTCAATCCAAATGCAATTTTTGGTCTGTTTTTCATCAATGGGTTTGAATCCGGTTGATATTTGCGTGCGCATAGGTTTATAGAAGAACTGCATGCATGTTAGCAGACGCTGCAGCCGGCTAGTTTCTGTGGTGAAAGAAATGTTCTAGGGTGTTTGGTGATTTTAACAAATTCTTGTCAGCATTTGGCTAATTTTTGGTCAGTGAAGGCCAAATCTAAAATGTCATGTTCATAGGTACATCTCCGTGTTGGTGGAACTGACGAAAGTGGAGGCTGATAACGAAACATGGGGCGAAAATCGCTTGAAGCAGTACTGTTTCTAGGTCGATTGGTGTTTGGGAGCGAAATTTTGACAGTGATACGTAACTTGGAGTCACGTCGGACGATGTGATAGCAGCGTTTCAAGTGGTTCTGGCCTCTGGCTAAGGGTGGTCCCATTTTTTTCTCTAAGAATCTTGGATTAAGTTGTGAGGACCTCTGAAAGAATTAATTTGGGAGTGCGTTTTCAAACTTATTGAATTCAAGGTTTGCGAGGAACTCAACAAAAGTTCTGCTTGTGTTTTAGCTGACTGACACATCGTTGACAGCCCGTTGTGTTTGCTTCTCGGCATCTCCTTTTTTGTTATTTTCCATAACCAGCATTTCTCTTTCAGTAATTTCGTTACTGGTAATGGGTATAGTATTTTCTGGATTTACTGGTGTAGACGGAACTTTTTTTTTGAAACAAATATCACTTTAATCGGCAAACCATGCTCATTCGCGCGAAAATCTGAAGCGCGCGCTCGCGCGTCATGCTGTCGCCATGTGAGATCTACCATTACCAACAACGTTTCATAGTTATGTGACTCTCATGTTTTGGGGCAAGAATGAACTGTCGGTGAGACATATGATTGTGAATAAAAAGCATTTCGGATTTTTTTACATCTTTTATGCCTTCAGATCCAAGATGTCACTGTGCGTGTAGAATCCATACGACATTTCTCGTGTGCCCAAACTGGCTGTATGTGGTAAGCGTTGAGGATTATCTTGATTTAGATGGGGACAACTTCATCGGTTGCTCAATTGGATAGCGTTGAAAATGCACATCTTACTGGCAGGGAGTGCTCAGCAGCGAAGTAATATTTGTGAGGTGTTGCTGGCAGCCGCCTGGATTTGCGGGGAATATAGCCAGTGAGTCCATCAGATTTGTAACCTGGAATACATTTTCATCACCTATTTCTTGATCAGGCACGTTCGAATATTTCATTAGTCCTGGACAGCTTGCTACGTGCACGAAACCTCGGTGATGTCTGGTCATATATTGTCAGTGTATGTACAGAACATTGGAAAGTTGTATAGTACACTACTCTCCAAAGCAGAAAAGGTAATGCAGATGAAAGTGGGAGCGTATTTCCAAATTCTGCACTAGATAGCTGCTAATTGTTTTTTTTTTTAGGAAGATGACTGGGATGCTATTGAGTCACTGGATAATCTGATGTTGTCGAAATTGGCCGACTTTGAGCTGGCGGAGCACCTGGAGGCACAGGAAAGGGTGAGAATTGTGCTTGATTGTGTCCGTGTGAAATAGCAGCGATCGAACCAGTTTTCTCGGAATTAACATCTGATTAAACTTAGTATTGTTGGCGCATCGGCAAATATTCACCTAAGTTCAGTGATGCTTCTGTGAATTTGTAATTTTTTGTTCAAAAGAGTGTTGGAAATCTTATGTATCGACGATCAGCCAAGGTTATTGTTTGTGGAACGCAGAAGAGCCGTTTTCGGATTTATGCGGCCGTTTCTCACAATTAGTGGTCTTCAATCACCTTGGATATCAGAAATCAAGCAGTGCAAGCTGGCTTGTCGAGTAATTAGAAATCTCTTGTTTGCAGTCCTCAGTTTTCATGTCGAGCAAAGAGTGAAGTATTTCTTCCGGGGATTTGCTCGTCAGGAATTTATTTATTTATTTATTCATGCGTGCAGTTGACGCGCCTATAAAGAAACAAACAATAGAAAACATTGTGGTTAGTCAATGAGGACGGTAGCCCTATTATCTTCACGAAACTATTAAAAACTACGATATAAAAGGACTACTGCAAACCTATTCCCTTTCCTGCATTCAAAGAGATAGCAGCACGAGGGAAAATTAGCACTGCTGACCCTCTAGCGAGGAACTAAGGACCTCTCAAACTTGGGTGACTTTGAGTGTAATCCAGGTACCTTACCTGCACCAGTCGGCAATGGTGCCCATAGCACTACTATAGGTGCAATGGGAAGCCTGCCTGAACTTCGGGACACGAGTATACCGACACCCTCGTGGAACAGGCAAGTCAGGTAAGGACCAGATGCCACTCGTGGATTCCAGCAGAAAGACGTTACTTCCAAAAGCTTGTATGTGGAGGTTCTTGAATTAGAATGGCAATAGTCGTATTCTTGCCTACTTTGTGCTTATTGTCCATAAAAATTGAGCAAGTTTCTATAAATCTCAGACTAGGCCTCAAACTTCGAAAAGATTCAAAGAGAGAGAAGCGAAGAGCTGAATCTCCTTGCGCGTAAACCCTTCATGGTCAGGCGTGTTTGCAGTGGTAATATGTGCCTTCTAACTTTCACAGGGCGAAAAAGGGGACGAAGAGTGAGACGAGGGTTGTCTTTGATTGCGTGTCAGTTGCCTTAAACCTCACATTCACGCAGTCGTTTGCTGCCATTTCTCTTATCCTTAACACATTGGCGACGGTATGTTGCTCGCCACATTGTAACATGACCCTCGCTCACTTTGCTCGATTAATTTGGCATTTTTTTGTGTACCAGAACATTTACATACGTCACCGGATCGTGAACAGCATATTCATCACCAGTCACGAAATTATTGAAGAAGAAATGACTGCTTCAAAATTATTAAAAAATGACATCGAGGTCCATGAGCGACGGGTTGTCGTCAGTGTGTTAATGTTTGGCAGCCCTTTACGAAGCTTATTTGCTGCAATACCTCCTAAATATGAATGAAATATCCATCTTATTGAACATAAATATTATATCACATAAATGTTCATTAAAATTCCATGACCCTGATTTCTTCAGTTAATGTTAACTCAAAAAAGGGTGGAGGGGGTATATTCGATTTTTATTTTGCCCAAATCCGAGAACCGTCTAGGACGTGATCAGTCGTGTTTCTAAATAACGTTGTTGTGCGGTGCCTGTGTTCAAGTTATTTAGCATTATATCTGACTGTTCGGCGGGTG